CAAACTTTCTTTGAGAAATCAGCTGACAGTCTTAAGGAAGCTCCCTTGTAGGTAACGAATTGTTTTTCTCTTGCTGCTTTTAAGATTCTCTCTTTGTCTTGAACCTTTTGTATTTTGATGATGATGTGTCTTGCTGTGGACCTCTTTGGGTTCATCTTGTTTGGGACACTCTGTGCTTCCTGGACTTGTATGTTGATTTCTTTCACCAAGTTAGGGAAGTTTTCTGTCATTATTGTTTCAAATAGATTTTTAATTTCTTGCTCTCTCTCTTCTCCTTCTGGCACCCCCATGATGCGAATGGTGGCACACTTGAAGTTGTCCCAGAGACTCCTTACACTATTCTCATTTTTTTGGATTCTTTTTTCTTTTTGCTGTTTTGATTTGGTGGTTTTTGCTTCCTTATATCCAAATTGCTGGTTTGTTTCTTGGCTTTAGCTACTGTACGATTGATTCTCTGTAAATTATTCTTTATTTCAGTCAGTGCATCCTTCATTTCTGATTGTTTAAAAAAATTTTTTTTTATGTTGTTGATGTTCTAAGTTCCTTGGAATTCTCCATAAGTTCCTTGAAGTTCTCACTAAGTTCCTTGAGCATCCTCATAACCAGTGTTTTGAACTCTGCATCTGTTAGATTGTTTATTTCCATTTTGTTTAATTCTTTTCCTGGAGTTTTGTTCTTTTTTTTTTATTTGGGATATGTTTCTTTGTCTCCTCATTTGGGCTGCCTTCTTGTGTCTGTTTCTCTGTATTAGGTAGAGTTGCTATGTCTCCTAGGCTTTGTAGGGTGGCCTATTGTTGTAGGTGTCCTGTAGGGTCCAGTGGCACAGCCTCCCTGGTCACCCCAGCTGGGCCCTTGAGGTGGAATGTACACCCTTCTGCTGTAATTGATTCTTGATTGCTGTTGGCACGTCAATGGGAAGGATTTACTCAGGCTGATCAGCTCCAAGGACTGGTTGTGCCCACTGCCCACTGGCCTCTGACCACCTTGGAGGATCAGCTGTGCAGGGGCTCAGCACACAGAGCAAGGCTTACTTCAGCAGGGCTCTGGTACCCACTGAGTCTGCTCCTTGAGTGTGTCACTTGTGGAGGTGGTTGAGTGTTGGTGCTTTGATGTGGTCTGAAGCTGTCCACTGGGTGTGTTGGCTCTGGGGCAAGGTCAGCCACTTCCTGTGTTCTACCCGGGGTCACCAGGCATAAGCTACAGAATGATCTATCAATGGCTGCTTCTTGTGCTGGGCTTGGAGGTGCCCAGGAAAAGCCAAGCTATGAACCAAGGCTGGCTGCTTCTAGTGCCAGGCCTGGAGCCACTTAACGAGAAGTATGAGCTTCACTGAGACCAGATGCTTCTTGTTTGAGAGATTTTAGGAAACTCTGAAGCAGGAGCCAACATAGGCCAATTCTATGGTAAAGCCATTGGACACAGCTTGGGTGGGCCTGAGAGTTGGGGCGGGTCCTCAGGGAATCACCAGGGTGGGGCCAACAGTGTGAGCCAGGTTGCTGGAGTCCCAGATATGGCAGCTGTCTGCTGCCCCAGGGAAGGGCTCACCAAAGAAACAACAGCCTCCGCCAGCACGTATGTCTGAGAGAAAGCTGCCTCTCCAGCCCTCTTTCTGAGGCCAAACAGCTCAATTCTTCCCCATATGTCTCTGGTGCCTTTGAGCTGCCTCCCCTCCATGCTGGAGCCCAGAAGGAGCAAATCTGAGTAAGTCCGTGTGCGGGCCCTTTAAGAGGAGCTGCCCGAGGCCCCCGCAGCCTCAACCTCCCTCAGCCTCAGTTCTCGTGGGTTTTACAGCCAGAAGTGATGGGGATTCTCATCCTGGCACTGGAACCCTGAGCTGGGCGCCTGGTGCGGGACGGGGACCCCTCACTCTGTAAGAACGAGGCGGAACGAGGCGGTGCAGAGTCTCCAGAAGTGCAGGTTTATTGGGAATCAGCCTGCGGGACTACCTCTAAGGAGAGAGTAGCAACCGGCTTGTATAGACTAAGGATTTTTAAACTTAGGGCTGGGGGGTGGTCGGTCAGCCGAGGAGACGTGGTCATCTTTGATTGGTCGGGCCTGGGGTCTCCCGTGTTCTTGATTGGTCGGGGGCTGGGGTCTCCTGTTGTTTTTTTGTCGAGCGACTGTTTGCAGTTTTGGGTGGGTTCGGGTGGTTCCATCATTCCGTTCCTCCTGACTGGAGTGATGGGTTTTAGTTTTCTGGAATGAGAGGCTTAGGGCAGTGTTAAGGGCTAACACACTCCTCAGGGAGGACCTTCCCAGCTGAGGTGTCCTCCTGCTTTTTATTCGCTACACGTGGGTGTGGGACCAGCCCCTCCGCCTCTGCTCCTCCTACCAGTCTCCATGTGGCTGCTTGTTTAATTCTGTAGTTGTAGGTTGCTCTGTAGTTTAGTTGTAATTTTGATGTGCTTGTGGGAGTAGGTGAGACTGCGTTTACCTGCCCATCATCCTGACCGGAAGTCTGTGTGTGGTGGCCCAGGACCCACATGTCTGGTGGTGGTGGGGTGGGGCAGAAGGACAGCAATGTGTGCCCTTTAAATGCAACAAAGTCCTGAACAGGACACGTGCTGACTGTAGAGACAGGAAAACAGAGGCAGAGGGAGGACTTGGACTGATGCCCCCCGACCCCTACACGCTCACATGTTGCTCAGCCTTCGGCCAGCCTCAGTGGTGGGGACGCCCAGGGGAGCCGCTCCCTCCCAGGAGCCTGCTGGGATGCTGAGGCTGTGTGAGCCCTGGTCCTCGGGGCCCTGGGACAGGAGCCTTCTGCTCACCTGGCGGAAGGACCAGTGTGCTCTGTCTTTGAACTGGTGTTTCAGCTTCCACACGTACGTGAGATCACGCACTCTGTGTCTTCCTCCCCACTTGGCATAACACCCTCGAGGTCCGTCCGTGTTGCGGCTAATGGCAGAATTTCCTAATGACTCGTGGCTGAATGGGTTTCCTAATCTACACACATACAGCTCTATTTTCTTTATCTGCTCCTCTGTTGACGGACACATAGATTGTTTCTGAGTCTTGGCTGCCGTGGATGATGTCGTGATGAAGATGGGGTGCGGATGTCTTTCTGAGACAGTGACTTGCCCCCTCGTGCAAGGGCTCGGTGCTGACACTTGGAAACCCCTTCTCATGGTCTTTGCTATGAAGGCCACATACTCACAGGTTGTGGGGGTTACGATCAGTCATCTGTGGGTGGCCGTTATTCTGCTGACCCCAGTGCAAGTGGGGTAGCTCAGGACAATTAGCATCTCACAAGCACAGAACCGTGCAGCGAGATTTTCTCTTCCCCAAGTGGAGACGTCTTTTTGCAGCCCTTGGTGTCATCCTCCTCAAGGCTGCCCCGGGTCCTCCATCCCTTCCTGTCCCCCTCCCGGCCTCCCTGCAGGGGCTCCAGATTCCCTCAGAAGCAGTTGCTTACAAAGGAGAGTGAATACCCTTCCTGTCCAGGCCGAGCCTGCTCCTGACGTCTCCCTCTGGGTCTCGGTTTCCTCCTCAAGAGAGAGGATGGATGTTCTGTAGAAATTCAGCCCCTGGAGCTGGGATTTCCAGACAGAGTCCAGTCCTACAAGAGGCAGATCACTCTGAGCCCAGCCCCCCATCACCTCTTTCTTCCCAGTCCCTCTTCACCAGCGCCTCCCGCTGCGCGTGAGCCGCAGCACCGAGAAGGAAGGCGAGGCTGCTGGATGCCTGTGTTCCTGCCGTGTTGGCTCCTGCGTTATTGGGGCGCGACTGGGTCATTGGCATCGTGGCAGATGGCAGGGAGGTTGTGGCTGTTCCTGAGGGCTCTGCACAGCCTCTCGGAGCCTGAATGTGCCCTTCCAGCCAAGAGGGGCTCGCGTGACGCCTCAGTTTATTGGTGTTGACAGCAATGGTGTTCTAAGTATATCCTCAGATAAAATTACCTCCAGCAACCTGGGGCTTTGCGAGTCTTAGCGAGTGACTCCTATTCTCAAACTATTTTTAGGGCTATTCACTGCCAGGCTCCCCGTGGTGTTTGTCAGTGGAATCTCCTGAGTCACAAAGGGTGATAGATCGTCCAGGTGATGACTGAGGATTGTGTCTGCCTGACCGTCTCCTTCGTCAGGGACTCATGCTGTGTTCTCTCCACTTGCTCTTTCCGGACTTTCCGCTCGCTCTCCAGGCTGTGAGGTCAGCGCTGGGCACGCTCTCGGCTGCTGCCGTCAGAGCCTTTTCTCGGGGTAACCCCCGGAGAGCCCTCACGGTGGGCAGAGCCAGGCCCCTTCCCTTCCCTGTGCCCACTTGATGGAGCATCAGAACAAAACAAACCTAGAGAGATGACGTGGACCCCAGAGGGAGCCACCAGCTGGACGCCAGCCCCAAACCAGCTGCGTCCGCATCGCTAGGGTGGACCTCGTGGCCGTAGCTGGGCATGTGCCAGTGAGAAGGTGGGTTGTGGAATGTGGGTGCAAATGTGAGGACGGTCCGTGCTGGAGCCCGGTCTTCCCTGGGGGATGAGGGGATTGAGGTCCTGTGGGGGCCTGGCCTCTGCTGGGCACTGGGCCTCCTGCCCGTCCAGGGTGGTCGCAGCCACAGCTGGGGGTACAGGAAGGAGGAAATCCTGACTTCGGCGGCTGTCATGGCCTCAGGAAATGTGAGCCTCTGCAGACTGAGCTTCCCAACTGTGAACACGAGGGTATTTGGGAAAAGCACAAGCGTTTATACGACACCACACCAGGCACTGTCCTGGGGTTGAGATGACGGACATGTTTTGACCAGAGGTGAAATAAAATCTGAAGGCAGGAGTCAGAAAACCCTGTGGTGCAGCCGAGTTCCTTTCTATGGCCTGTGGCACGTTAGAAACATCTTGGTCATCTTTAAAAAAAAATTTTTTTTTTATTGATTTTAGAGAGAGAGGAAGGGAGAAGGAGAGAGAGATAGAAACATCGATGAGAGAGGACATCGACTGGCCGCCTCCTGCACGCCCCTCACTGGGGATCAGGCCCACAACCTGGGCATGTGCCCTGACCGGGAATCGAACTGGTGACCTCTTGGTGCAGGGTCGATGCTCAGCCACTGAGCCACACCGACTGAGCCTGGGTCAGCTTTTAAGAGGTGAAGACTTTTGCAGGAACACGTGGTCCGATGACCTCAGGTGTATCGGGCCCACAGTGTGCTGGGAAATCACCCCCATGGGCTGCAGGGCAGCCAGGACAGGGCGGGGGTGAGGACCCCCGCGAAGCTCGGCTGCGGGCGCAGTGGCTCTGGGGGTGGCACCACAGGCAGTCCTCCCTGGGGTGTTCCTTCTCAGGAAATGGGGGGCCGGTTGTGTGCTTCCACTCCACGCAGGACTGAGGCTGCCATCGTCTCAGGACAGCCGTGGGGTGGCCTCCGGGGGTGTCTGCAGTGTCCTGTGCCTCATCTCCAGCTTCTGAGCCCATTCTCCACGGAGCCTGGGACAGCGGGAATTTCAGCTCTGTGAGTCACCTCCCGGCCTCCTCTGTGGACGCCGCACACGTGCGTGAGCCACCTCCTCCCGGCTGCGTTCCCACCCGGCGCAGCTGTGACCTCGTCAGGTTGTGGAGAGCCCTGTGGCCTGGGGGCTGGTCGCTCAGGGCCAGGGCCAGGGCCACACCTGACATGGAGGGTCTGTCTCAGGATCCCAGACCCAGAGGGAAAGCACTTTGTCCCAGGAAGTATCGTCTAGGGACTTCGGAGCCCTGAAGAGACTGAGCCACACCCTGAGCGCTGTGCTTGCGTGTGCACAGGTCATTACGGAGGAGCGTGTGTCTGCGAGGACAGGACACGGGGCCCAGTCAGCTGCGCCCCCACCCAGAGCCCCCACACCAGCCCCGTCTGGTGCCCCCCTCCTCCCTTCTCTGTGCCCACCTGTCTGCCCAGCTGTCATCACAGCACGGGGCCTGGGTGGTGGGCTGCAGGGCTCCCCGCCCTGGACGTCTGCCCACAAACAGTGACCCCTCGGTGCCTGAAGGAGGGAGTGCTTTGGCTTTAGAGGGTGGAGAGCGGGGTAGGTGCCTGGCCGGCCGACCTCTGGGGCTGGTGACAACTTGGTAAAGGCGTCCACTTAGACACTTGTGCTGGTACCCAGGGGCCTGAGCGAGGACAGCACCTCGAGCAGCAGGTGGTTAGACCAGGACAGCAGTGCCCATGCGTGACGGTCCATGTGTGGAGGGTCCATGTGTGATGGGTCCATGCATGACACCCCATGTGTGATGGGTCCATGCATGACACCCCATGTGTGACAGCCCATGAGTGATGGCCTCATGCATGACACCCCATGCGTGATGGCCCCATGCATGACACCCCATGTGTGACAGCCCCACGCATGATGGGCCCATGCGTGATGGCCCTACATGAATAGCTGTGATCCTGCCCCCTCACCAGGCCATGGCTGCTGACTGTGTGCCCCAAGGCCAGACATGTAGAAGCAGATGGCTCCCGGGAACCCTGGATGCCTGTGAGAAAGTTCCCAGGGGTTGCTGTGGTCCAGAGGACAGGGGTGTCCTGGCTATGTTCTGTGTCCTGATCACCAACCAATCTTCCCAGAGAGGTGCAGGATGTCCTGCCTATGGCCCCATCCCATCAGCTCAGGACCTTGGTGACACCCAGCTGGTGCGGACAACACCCTGACCGCTGCACCCAGAGCCCCTCCCGGGACCTTGGTGACACCCGTACCTCTGGACAGAAAACTGAGAAGCTCCCAGGGCCTGATGGCACCAGAGAGCAGGGTAAGGCCCTCAGACCCCGGAGGGAGCTGTGGTGGGAGGAACCATCAGTATGAGGACCCCCAGGAGCTGAGGTGGGGGCCGTGCACGTGGACAGAGGGTACCACAGCCCCCACCTATGCCTAAGGAGAACAGATGTCCTGAATGACGGAGTCCACCCCCAGCCAGAGGACCTCAGGTGGGGGAGGGTGGGCAGGCACAGCAGCCAGACCTCTGGTGGCTGGAAGGTCAGCGTAGCCTCCTGTGGCCACAGCCAGGACCCTCCTGCCCGCCTGCCCCCAGGGCAGCAGCTGTGGTGCTATTTGGGGAAGAGGCTGTGACCACTTTGAGTTCTCGTCTAGGTGTGAATTATGTGTTAATCTGCCGTCTTAGCTGTCCGTGAGATCAGATATCCTGGGCCTGTTGGGGTAACCTAGGAGGACCCTCAGCACCAAGGTCACTGGACTTGGCTGCAGAAAGAAAGGGATGTTGGCTTTAGATCTGTAGTCATGCAAATGTGTGGGAAGGAGTAGAATGAGTACACTCGTGGGAGCAAAAATAAAAAAATAAACAAACCCAGAAAATAATATCAGATCAAAGCAGGACATGCCTCCATAACAAATTCTGTAAATGCTCAAGAGTTTGAGAGTGTAAGGAAGGGGTGATGCATCATAGTGGGGTAATGGAGTGTGGGGATGTGGTGATGGACTGTGGGGATGGGGGAGGGGAGATGGAAGGATGGGGTGATGAAGTGTGGGGTGGAGGGATGGGGTGATGAAGTGTGGGGATGGGCGGATGGGGTGATGGAGTGTGGGGATGGGGTGATGGTGGAGTGTGGAAATGAAGGGATGAGGTGATGGAGTGTGGGGTGGAGGGATGGGGTGATGAAGTGTGGGGATGGAGAGATGGGGTGATGGAGTGTGAGGATGGAAGGATGGGGGATGGCGTGTGGAGATGGTGGGATGGGATGATGGAGTGTGGGGATGGGGTGATGGAGTGTGGGGATGGGGTGATGGAGTGTGGGGATGGGGTGATGGAGTGTGGGGATGGAGGGATGGGGTGATGGAGTGTGAGGATGGAGGGATGGGGTGATGGAGTGTGGGGATGGAGGGATGGGGGATGGAGTGTGGGGATGGAGGGATGGGGGATGGAGTGTGGGGATGGAGGGATGGGGGATGGAGTGTGGGGATGGAGGGATGGAGGGATGGGGGATGGAGTGTGGGGATGGAGGGATGGGGGATGGAGTTTGGGGATGGAGGGATGGAGTGTGGGGATGGAGGGTTGGTACCCTTTGGTATTCCTGTCTTCCAGTTATTCAATGTAGCAGTTAGAAGCTGAGTTAATGTGGGTGGTGTTTCCCATGGAGGGTGTCTCTACCTGTGACATGAGATCTGGGAGTGTAATTCGGTTGCTGGGGGTGTGGGGGGGCTAAGTGCCAGAGCTTGAGGGCTGTGCCCACCTGGTAAGCTGTGTGCAGATTGCTCCCCGACACGTGTCCAGGGCGCTCCTGCGCATTGCTCGCCCTTGCAGAGCCCCCCACCCCCACCTACCTGTCCAGGGCGCTCCTGCGCATGCGCTCGTCCTCACTCTGCAGCTGCTGGGTGTGGCGCTGGATTCGCTTCTCCCAGAACACCTTCAGCTCTTCTGAGTTGGATGCCACCCGTCCTAGATGCTGCCCAGCGTGGCTTTCACTCATTTCCTGGGAGGGAACACTTGACAAGACGCCCCCGTTTTGTGCTGCGTTCTGAGAGCAGAGAAGAGCAGCGGGTGAACAGTTAGGGTGCCGGCTCAGCCAAACTCAGTTGTGTATTTGATAGGACGGGTCAGTGAGGCAGACTGAGGTTTATGTTCTACCAACTCTTCCACTGAGGGGACCCCGAGATTAGGATATCAGCGGTGTCAGAACACAAACCCGGAACCGACAAGACCATCTGCAGGGAAGGAACCACTCTGACAGCCCCTTTGCAGAGAACTCATCCCTGGGAGCCCGCGGGCAGGCTGTCCCCGTCACCTGTCCAGGGCACAGGGAGCAGGTCCTGCGTGCACCTGCCCGGCCTGGTCCCAGGCCTCTGTGGACACACAGTCTGTGCTCTTGGAAGAGGTCACAGGAGGACCCAGGGCCACCGTCCAGAGCGTGAGGCCCTGGGCTGTCCAAGTCAAGGAGGTGCCCACTGTGTGTGGACGCAGATCTTCAGGGCCCAGGGTGGAGACACGGGGTGCCCCCTGCTCCTCTCAGGGTGGCCCCTTTACTGCGTGTCTTCTGGGAAGTGGGAAGAAGACGCTGGCAACTTCCCAGGCAGGAGTCATCACCCTGCTGTGGGAGGCCCAGGAAGTTCGGGAATTCAGTGCTGTGCTCTGTGTGACGTCAAGTCGTGTTGCTGTGGCCGTGACCATCCAGCTCTGGAAACAGACTATGGCCACGGGGCTGGAAACACTGTCAGGAGGCTTCTCAGGAGGTCAAGGAAGAACACTGCCCGGTGTGTCCAAAGAAACAGGACGTGGGCCCCTCCCCCCTTCCCTGTCCTTCCAGATGTGTTGTTTCCCAGGAGGTGCTGAGGTCAGTGCCCATATGTCCCGAGTGATGGCTTCAGGGGGCTGACGGGCACTGACACCGTGGGCTTTGCCCAGCTGCTGGCAGGGGGCTCACGGACCTACCCAAGGGTCTGGGCAGGAACCTATCCAGAGAAACAGGTTCATTGAAACAGATGCAAACAAAGCCAAGCCCAACTGCTCCCGGCTCAGCCCCCGTTCAGCCCCCAGACCCTCTCGGGCTAGAAACCACGGGAGAGGGGAACTGGAGAGCCAGTGGAGGGCACAGCAGGTGACACCTGAAGGCAGCCGAGCGGTGGACAGGCAACGCCAGCTGATTCTCCAACCCAGCATTTTCACCGGACATCTGCGTGGGAGAAGTTACAAACCAAGTTTATAAGTTAAACTCCCTCTGACAGAGCTTACTTTTAGTGGTTTCTCAGCCAAATGGGGGGACCTCCTGGGGATGGGCGTCCTTGGGTGCCATTCCTGCGCGTGCTTAGGTCACTCCCTCTTATATGAGTTTGGCCGCCGGTGCTTGGCACCAGTTCAGTGCCCGGAAAGATGACCTGCCTTCAGTCTGGCCTCGGCCCCTGGAGACAACCTGGGGCCCTCATGCACTTACTGGTGGGCACGCGTCCCTCAGGTCCTGGTCCAGGAGTCCAGGGCGGCTCCGGGAGGCTCCTCTTCTTGGCTCGCTTTCTGCAGATCGTGTTACCCGCAGGGACCCGACTGCCTTCCTCTCTCTGTCTCCTTTTAGATTTATCTTTATTGTTGCAAGTATTACAGATGTCCCTCCATGTTCCCCACCGACAACCTCCTCTCTGCTCCTGCCCCACCCCCACCTTCACTGCACTGGGTCTGTGCCCATTGGCTCTGCATGTAAGCTTTTCTGTTCACCTCTTCCCGCCCTTTCACCCCACTTCCCTGAGGTTTGTCCGTCTGTTCCTTACTTTCACATCGCTGGAACGATTTGTTCATCATTTATTTTGTTCATTAGATTCCACAAATCAGGGAGACATGGGGTACTTGTCTTTCTCTGGTTGGTTTATTTCGCTCAGCATAATCCTCTCCAGGTCCCTCCGTGTCAACTTCTCTTGATGGCTAATCCCAGGAAGCCCCGCAGGCTGAGGTTTGTAAAAAAGCAGCGTGCATCCAACCCCCTTGGTTTTAACATGTATGTAGGTGGTTGTCTAAAGGGATGGTCTGCAAATAAAACATTGAGTATGCTCATGGGAAGGCAGCATAAGTAGCCTTTTCCTTACTGTGGTAGCATATTGTGAAGTGTCTGTATTGAGTGTGTACACACATACAGTGTATACACACTGGTGAAAACCAGAGCTAAAGAGGGAATTTGGGAGAACACATCGGAGCCTTGGTCGAGCTGTAACTCTCCACATCTTCTGATCTTCCCACATCCTGCTTACGAATCAGGAGCACCTGCTTGCACCCGAGAAATCTGATGTATGAAATTCTGAATAGACGTTTCTTGTCCCCAACCCCCCAAATTGAACAAGGCAGTCTGTGGAGGGCTGGAAACTGGGCCCCTCTCACCTCTGCCATCGCCTGACATGGTCCTCGGTGGGATTCTGACCCCTGTCCTGTCCCCGTACTGCCCGGTGCCCATCTCCGGCCACCCATGTCACAGTGCGTCCCAGGGTCTCCTGGTCCCGATGTCCCACGGAGACAGTGCCCTGATGGTTACAGCGGCCACGTGTGCAGGAGCAGAATCCGGGGGCAGGTGAGCAGGCTACTACGGACACCCCTGGGGGGT